CAAGAAAAAGGACGAGTTTGTGCCTAGTGGTGCAGAGTTGTCTTGGATCTCCTAGGAAATCACGGGCAGCTCTTGGCTTTTGATTTCCAGACGTTCTTGGGAGGTAATTTTAAAATCAGGAAGCCAGAGGGGAAGAGCATGGCCCATGTGGCCCTGTCCCTCCCACCATGTGTGCTAGGGACCCGTCCCGTGCTCCCAACAGTGTTCACACAGGACCTCTTGGGCTGTCTGACGTTGTCGTTGTGACCCAGCGTCGCGCACTGTCCTGGCTTGCTGTCCAGCAGAAGGGTTGGTGGCACGGAGTCACCTGTGTCCGATAGAGTAGACCAGGGTGATGTGGTTTTGCCCTTGTTCCTGTCTAGGTAGAGGGTCCCCCTAGGACACGTGGTCAGTATTAAGGTGGGGTCTTTCAGAAGTGGAATTTGTGCCCTCAGGGAAGAATCAAAGGAAGCCACTCTACCCCTTCTGCCACATGGGGACACCTAGAAGGCACCATCCCTCCGTGAGGGGTGACACTTACCATGTGCCACACCCATTAGCACCTTGATCTTTGACTTCTGTGCCTCCGGAACTGTGAGTAGCAGTGCCTGTGTGACACCTGCCCAGCCTGAGGGGTCATCACAGCAGCCCAGAGGATTAGGACTGGGACCAACTAAAACCTCAGGGGAGCCGGGCGCAGTGGCACACACCTGTCATCCCAGCGGCAGCGGCTTGGGAGGCTGAGGCAGGAGGATGGCAAGGTGGAGGCCAGCCTCAGCCACTTTGCAAGTCCCTGAGCAACTCAGCGAGACCCTGTCTCTAAATCAAATATCAACACAGGGCTGGAGTGATGAAGTACCCCTGGGTTCAATTCCCAGTACCTCCACCCACCTACCCCCCAAAAAAAGAGCAGAAGTTCCTAATTTTGATGGCATCCAGTTTGGCAGCCCTTTTTAGGGATTGTGCTCTTGGTGTGAGAGCTGAGAAATTTTTGCCCAAGGTCCTGACAATATTTGGAAATAGGACTGGATTTAAACCACGTTGTCCACTGGGCACAGTGACTCGCGCCTGTGATCCCAGCTACTGAGGAAGCTGAGGCAGGAGGATGGCGAATTTGGGGCTACCCTGGGCCACTGGGTGAGATGCTGTCTCAAATCAAAATAGAACGGGCTGGGGACAGAGCCCCCCGGTTTGTGCGACAGGTGCAAAGCCCGAGGTTCAGCGCCCAGGCCTGCCAAACAGACAGACGCTGTCCACAGACCCGCGGGCGACCCTCCTGCCTCAGCCTCCCGAGCCGCTGGGATAACGCGCATGCGCCCACGTCCAACTTAAGAATCTTTATTTGAATAAGAGAATCTAGCGTCCCTCCACCTCAGGTGGGCCTAGGGGACGAGCCTCAACAGGGCAGCCACCTGAGGGTGGGTATCTACACCACAAAAAGCCCATCTGGTCTCTGCCACATGGGGAGTGGTGTCCAGGAAGACAGGCCTCGGGTGCCTGGACATGGGGACTCCCAGGGGAGCCAGGCCTGCCTGAGGTCACGGCGCTGTGGGGACAGTCAGAGGAGCAGGAAGCTCACCTGGACCAGGCATTTGGCACTGGGTGGCTGCTCTCCTGCACCCGCCTAGGCCCCAGGTCTCCTTGGCCAGGCCCCAGGGAACTCCGCCCAGCCCCTGGTCCCCAGCTGCTCTGTGGACACCCCAACCGTCCCCCCTCTCTCCTTCCAGTCCCCTGACAGTTCCCACTGCGCCTTCTCTGAAGCTTGTCAGGGATTAACAGCAAGTAAGATGTCACAGCCAAGGATTGTTGACAGTCCCCAGGAGGACCGTTCCTTCTCATGTACCTGGGTTCGGTCTTGCTGTTGGAACCATTAGGAATTTCTGTGGGTGTTTGTCAAGCCCTGGGCCGTGACAGTGTCATCTGGCCTACCAGACACTAGACACCTGCAGAGGTCAGCTCCTCCCATCTGTCACCTTTTTTTAAAGTATTTTATTTAGAGACAGGGTCTCGCTGAGTCACTTAGAGCCTCACTAAGTTGGTGAGGCTGGCCTCCACCTTGCCATCCTCCTGCCTCAGCCTCCCGAGCCTCTGGAATGACAGGGCGTGCGCCTCTGGAATGACAGGGCGTGCACCGTTGCGCCCGGCTGTTTGTATCTCTGTTCCCTTTGCTCATCAAGCAAAGCTGTGTTCTGCAGCCAGCCCCACTTCCTTCCCCTCCTGGCTTGTAGGTCCTGTTGAGGTTGCTTTTGATTTCACTTTGGCATTTTATGGTCGTCTCTGGAAAGAGGTCCCCAGCCTTCTGCTTCTTCACAACCCCGTAGCTGTGCCCACTTAGTCACTGGAATTGAATTATCTAGAAGCTGTTTGTTGACCAGACTGCTCACTCCAATTAAAGCTCCTCTGGGGCAGGAGGCTGAGGCAGGAGGATCGCAAGTTCGAGGCCAGCCTCAGCAACTTTGCGAGACCCTATCTCTAAATGAAATAAAATGTGGCTCAGTGGTAAGTGCTCCTGGGTTCAGTTCCCAGTACCCACCCACCCCACCCCCAAAATAATAGAGTCAGTCTATAACCAGACCCACTGTTCAACTTCTTGACCAGAGTCATGGTAGAATGTGACTTCAGATGCCTCTCCAAGACCTTTCCCAAAACCTAATGAGCAATATTGCTTACCTACCTTGCTGTGAGCCTTGACGTCTGCTGGTTTGGAAGGCAGAGTGATTTGGATTTGTTTCATGGTCAGGTACAGAGCACAGTCTTGGATAACATAGCAGGCCAGGTGTGGTGGCAGTGCCTACAATCCTAGCTACTTGGGAGGCCGAGGCAGGAGGATCAATAGTTGGAGGCCAGGCTGGGTAGTTTGTCTCAAAAAATATAAAGGGCTGGGGATATAGCTCTGTGGTAAAGTGCCCTTGGTTTCAGTTCCCAGTTTAAAACAAACACACACACACAGACACACACACACACACACAATATCACTGGAGAGAGGCATTTCTCAGTGTTTGGAGCTGGTTCAAGTTCAAGTTGGTACCTTCGAAGCCTACACTTCTAAGTTGGGCACGGCACCCACTGTCTTCCTGTAGTCCCAGCTGCTCCAGAGGCTGAGGCAGGAGGATCGCAGGTTGGAGGCCAGCCTTGGAAACTTAATGAGACACCGCCTCAAAATAAAAAGTGGCTGGGATTGTAGCTTAGTGGTAGAGTGCTCCTGGGTTCCATCCTCAGCACCTCATAAAAATAAATAAGTGAAATAAAGGTATTGTGCCCACCTACAACTTAAAAAAAATTAGAAAAAAAGCTGTTCTGGAGAAAACAAGTTGTCATTCTATTTCAAGGGCCTTTAAAATACTCATATTAGTTAACAAACCTCCCTTAGCAAGGGAAGAATTGAGATCATCCCTATGCCGTATGCCACCTTAATACTAATGACAGTATTTAATGGAGGGGGCCTGGCCCCGCCTGTCATCCCAGCAGATCAGGAGGCCGAGGCAGGAGGATCGCAAGGTGGAGGCCAGCCTCAGCCCCTTAGCGAGGCCCTGAGCAACTGCGACACCCTGGCTCTAAATAAAATAGAAAAAGGGGCTCATAGGTTAAGCGCCCCTGAGTTCAGACCCCAGGACGAGAAGTTGGGAGCGCTGGGCCGTTGAGTCGCAGGGGTTGCCTGTCTGAGGAAGTGGCCCTTCAGCAGAGGTGTGAGTGTCGAGGGCTGAGCTCTGCCACCTGGGGGGTTGAGGACACCCTGTCCCCC